CAACTCCTAGCTATATGTAACTTTATCGCCTGAATTTTGAATCAATCCACAATTAAATTTCTGGTAATGTAGATGTTTTCCATACTTGAGATGTTAGTGAAGTTTTTCCAACAATTTAATTTCCTTGATCGCCGTCTTAAAAATGCGAAATCATCAGTTGAAATTTCACTCGTGTTGTTTTTTCAAATTTTCGAATTTTTGTAAAATATCGCATGCGCCAGCAATTTCTCTGCACAGCGACAACAAATTTCCCAGCTGTTGTAAATCAGGACAAATTTTTATCCGATTTACAAACATTGATTAAACATTCATTTCTTTTGTATTTTCCTCGTGAATTATTAATGAATTTTTTAACGTATATTATCAATCGTATGAATTTAATACAGCTTGAAGAGATCAAAACAGAAGCTTTGTGTTGAGTAGAATTCCACATTAGTACTGCACCAATTTGCTGAGTACCCACTTCTTACGTACTAAAATGCAAACGTTGCACACAGGACGTAAAAGCTCTTGTTTACCGGTTGTAAACAGAGCGTGGACGACGTCTAAATCTCCCATGGATTTTAATTATTTCTTTTCTTTTCTTAAATAATATTAATTTCATTGTATTACTAGCCGCCGTCGTCACGTTGCCGTCCTAGATCTTTTAAAAGGTCTCCAATATGAGGGAAGTGCGACAAGGCGCATTTCATGGAATGGTACTGAAATGTCGCATGTTGCTACTTCGGAAAATTTTTTTGATATTTTTATTTTCCGACAAATTTGGACGTTATTGGACGACAAATTGGTGCTTCGTCTCGCTAGGAAACAGAAGGAGATCACCTCGATTCATTCGTGGATCGAAGCGTTCACCGTGAATATGTTGGTGCTGACAACCTACTACCAACACCGCGGAAAAACGTCTGCGCATGCACCAAATTATGAAAATATGGCGGGGAATTTGAATATCAATTTCTAAAACAAAACATGCTTATTAATTGGTCAAAAATTAGTAAAACAAACGAGAAAATATAGCAAATGGGTAGACTAGACTTTAATTGAAAGCGTCCTGGCATTTAAAGTATGGAATGAAATATAATTCATGTAAAAAAATGTTGATTTTAACGGACACGACTTCGAAAATTTTTGCAAAATTATTCAAAACAAAAATTCAAACTCAAAAGTTAAGAAAACTCTCGAAAAGTTAAGCTTCTTAACCCACTCCAATTGTAGAATAAATCCTAAAGTTTAATTATTGTGAACACGCAAATTTTTTATATTTGGCGACACAGTTTTTTTTTAAAGAAATGTATCTCAAACGAAAATTCGGAAATTGTCGTTGCTTAGTTGATAAACAAAATGTTTCAGACGATAAATTTGTCAACAATCACCTTTAGTTCATGTTCTTGTACAATACAATTTCTTGAACCTTCTGGCTGCATTTATTTCTAGTTTTTAGAATGACATGTTTATTTTTGCGCTTGAAATCTGGCTGTAAAGACGCACAATGAAGTCACTCCTTTTTACCGCCATTTTGAGCCTTCGGAAACGTTCGGAACAGCTTCTCATCAAGTTCGCAATACTATTACAGGTAAGGTTGACGCATGCGCAGACGTTTTTCCGCGGTGTTCCTACTACCCGCATCGTATCGCTGACCTTCTTCGTTACGGTTTGCTGATCATGCGCACGACTCAGAGGTTTCCAGGTCTCGGGTGGCGCAACTACTATGACACTTTCCACTGGTCGGCGTTAAACACGGAGTTGTTCAATTTCCACATCGCGTCGCCCCGGTCTCGGAATGTCACTGCTGCTGAGCCCGCTTCCTCCGTCGCCAGCCCTTCGTTTGCTCGATGCACACCTACCCAAGCTGAAGCTCGTGGTACAGAGGGCAGTCCCATTTTATGCCATTCGTGGAATTCTGGGTTGTGCTCCAGTATTTTCGTCGACCTTTTAGATAGATAGATAGATAGATAGATAGATAAACTTTATTTAAGCACACTAGTCTCATTCAACACTAAGCTGATTTCCATGAGAGGTGTGCTGGCTAATTGTTACAATTTAAAAACTAATTTATTAATACATACAAACTATTATTATATAAATCTATTAAATATTCATTTAAATAAACTACTTAAATTAATAAGGCCGAGGGCGAGGAGAAAAGGTTTTTAGAAAACGAATTGTGAGATATCGAATTTCGAATATTTTCTGGTATTCTATTCCATAATTTAGCCCCACTGTAACTGAAACTTTTTTAAAAAATTCTGTCCTGGGCCTTGGAATAAAAAGCCCAGTTGAAGAACCTCTTAAATTATAACTATTTACAGTTTTGGAAGATTGGAAAATGTTACACAGTCTTTGTGGAGCTAATTGATTTACTGTTTTGTACATGAGTTTGGCCTTCATTAATGCTCTACGTTCTTCAAGGGATGTCCAACCAAGAGCAGTACGAGCTAAGATAGACTGTCCATGCTCATTTTTAAAATTCATAATTACTCTAGCCGCTCGATTTTGCAATTTTTGAAGACGTTCGCCGAGGCCTTTAATCAAAATGCGGCTGGATCAATGCATTATACACCAGCACTAATGTATCTCGGTCTACAAATTCTTTAAGTTTTTTTAACGCACCAATCCCCGAAGATACTTTACTAGCGATATATTCAATATGTTTTTCCCAGTTTAGGTTCTCATCGATTTCAACTCCTAGCACTTTTGCGCTTTTTACTCTTTTGATTGGACATGTGTCAATCTTAACTGTGGGTTGGACATCCATGCTATTAATCTTAGAACGTGATCCAATCAAAATATATTCCGTTTTCGCAATATTTAAGCTAAGTTTGTTTGAAGACAACCACACTTTAATATTTTTCAAATCCTTATTCGCTATCTCTTCTGCTTCATTTAACGTTTTGCCCACAGCTGTAAGGCTGGTATCGTCTGCAAACATCCTTGGTGTTGTATGTTTGAGACAATTTGGCAAATCATTTATATAGATAATAAACAGAAGAGGGCCAAGTATACTTCCCTGAGGGATGCCGCAAGTTATTCCTCTCTGATCTGAAAGCATTCCATTTAGCTGACATCTTTGTGTTCGATTTGTTAAGTAATTACTTAGTAAATCTAGGGCTTTATTACCAAAGCCATACCGTTCGAACTT